ATACGAGTATGTTTGGAAAGGAAGGACCCCAAGCGAATTGCGTCTTCCTCTCCGCCTTCTGGCCGCCGCAGCTTTACGTTTTCTGGTCCCCTCCAACCTGGCTTCTCGGCTTCGGAAGTAAAATCCAACTTGCGGGGTGGACCAAGGCCAAGAGCGCCAAGAACCCATCGGCTCCGCGTTAGCAGCGTGGCTCCCCAGGCCCTTCGGTTGGTTCATCGCTCGCTCGAGGCCGGGAGTGCCGCTCTCACCTGCCTTGGCCCTTGTGTAGCACCTCCGCCCGCTTGGGTGAGCAGAGGGCTGAGACCGAAAGAGCACGGGAATCCGAAGCCGCGTTCCTCCCTTCGCTCCTAACCTGTGTTCTAGGCCAGGCATTCCCTGTCTTGCGTGAGTTTCTGTTCAGTCGCTCATAGAATCAATGACTGAATCCACAGGAGTGTGCTTCTACCGCCGAGAAGGGGCCTTGTTCTCAGACCAGGCCACCCAAGGTCCCTACACCCAGTAAGCTTGCATTCTTGGGAGAGGTGGAAGACGATATCGGAAAAACAATCAGAAACCGTATAATTGCCAATCCTGCTCAATGCTGTGAGGAAACAAAATAGGGTGTTGTGCCAAAAGTGGGGAGCTTTTTTATATGGCTGGTCCTGGAAGGCCTCGTTGTGGAGGTGACATTTTGAGATGAAACCTAGATGACGGACGAGCTGCTTCAACTACAGGTGTAAATGTCCAGAAGGGCCTTCCGGGCAGTAGGCGTGCAAGTACCCCAGGTGAGGTGTGGCTTGAGCTAATAGCACAGAGGAGAGCAGAGAAGGAGGGGCCACAGTCAGGCGGTGGCTGGATCTTGTAGACCTTCGGCTGAGGACAGTGAGGGTCTTGCACTTCTAACCTAAGTCTTCCACTCCCTCCCACCATTGCCACCAACGTGGGTTAGAGAAACCCTCCATTCCCGTGGTACCGGGCACCTTCACGTCCCATTCTCTCCCCTCCTGTGTGCTGGCTTGGCAGGAAAGGGGGAGAGGGGCTATGAGCAAAACCAAGCCTAGAATCTTTCCTTAGTGCAGAAGCGTAATCAGGAGGCCTGCAATGCACCGCCAGCTCTGGGTTTGCCTGGAGGTGTTGGCCAAGGAGGGAGGGGAGGAGGAGAGAGGACGGGAGGGTGAGGAAAGAAGGGACGGGGGAGGGAAGGAGAGAAGGAAGTGTGAGTGAATGAGGTGGGGAAGGAGAGGAATGTCAGAGGAGGACGTGTATGAAAAACCATCTAAGGGGAGAACCTTAGAAATTTCAGAAGCAAGAAGCGTGGAGTTTCATGGAGGGAGTTAAACGATACTAAAGGCGGACATCATTAAAACGGTATCATAGTGGCACGAAAATAAACAGCTTGATGCAACAGAGTAGTTTGCTCTGAACGTGACTTCTAGTTGTGACAACCCAATGGAGAAAGGTTATGCATGGGTCAGTGGGCTGGGTTTCGTGAGGATTACATGAACTAGCAGTGCCCCCTGTACAGTAGGACCCTGGAAAGGGTTATGAATCGATGAGTGCTCAGCAGTGAGTTGGAGCTTGATGAGTCAGTGCAAACTTGGAGGGGAGAAAAACCCCTGAGAAGAGGAATCACCTGAGTTTGAAAAGCTCCAGATGGACGCTGGGCACCCAAAGCCTTCCACCCCCAACGCACCAACACATCCTATTTGTCCCAGCCAGTCCCAACTAAAATATGAAGGAGGCAATTCCGCCCTTCATATTTGAGCACCTTTTCTAAAGTTTTCCTTTGCCCTCAATCCATTCCTGATTCACTTATTCGTTATATGGATCCTGCCAAAAAGGACCGTGTTTGCATTTTGCTTACAGGTTTCCTATTATCTCGCTAAACAAGAGCAGGGACCCAGCACCCTAGCCCTGAAACCTAGAAGAATGCCTGTTATATTGTCAGCTTTCAATCCTTGTTTAGAGTATGACTGAATGATGAAGAAATGAATGCAGAATGGAAAAAAACCCCAGAACAGTGCCCAGCATATGATGAAGCATTCGCCAGATGTTTCTGTATGAAATTTTTGTTTTTGCCTTCTACCATTGTGACACTCTTTATTCTTAGGAAATCTTAATACTCACTGTAACTTAGGTAACATGGTGACAAAAACATTTTGACAGTACTTGAAATAAAAGGACTCGCTAGATAAGCACAGAAGGAGACTAGTCAAGGACCACATAGAAAGAAGACAGGAAAATTCATCACTATGCAATTAATCAAAAGTTCAGATTTCCAGAATGACAGTTTGGACGCTTGGGGACATGAAGAGGCTTCTATTTTGATGATAAAACCGCAGACTGTCAAATATTGTCTTAAGATCACGTTTTTGCAAGGGCTATTTTCATGCCTCCCATAAAAGGTGAGGTAAAGTCAATATCAAATTCATAACCTTGATCCAATTAAATCCAATGATAGAGAAGCTGCCAGGCAGTTTAGAAATTGATTTGCTTTAATAGTTTTATAATCCAATGGAGAGTGTTTTTCAGATATGGAGCCTGGAAATGTCATGAAAAACGGGGTACTCTCTTAGTGACGTTTGAGGGACTATGTAACTTCAACTTTATAGCACAGATTCCAGCTCAAGAAGATCAAACATCTTGTATCCCATTGGAAGGAATCTTCTTTGAGTCCTAAAGTCCCTGAGAGTCTCAGATACCAACTGGGCATGGTCCCAAGACAGGGTTCAGTAACAGGATATCTACAGGGGCCAGGCTGGGGACCAGGTGCTGACAAAGGCATCTCCCGCTTGGCTTTGCATCCCAGCTCCACACAACCACAACGTGTGACCTTGAAAACCCAACTGACCACTTCCTCGTCCTCAAATTTGCCACCTGTTGCCCCTGCTCAATGGCTTTGCTTCCCGTTTTCCCCTAGTCCCAGTCTTCATTGTATTGCACCTTAAGGCAGATGAACTCTTTCTCCCTTGCAGGTGAGGAGCCTCCTTGGGGATGAGTAAGGCGACAGAGGCCAAAAGACCTGCTGTGAGCCTCAATTCCTACTTTCCCATGGTTGTGAGCGTCTTGTGATGAGATGAACAGCTAAGGGCTTGCAGGGAGGTGCTACTCCAGTGACGGTCATCCCAGCGGTAGTCAACAAGCCGGGAAGAATCTCAGGTGCACAGGCACATGCTAATGAGGACCCTGCCTACCTTCTCACCCTGTTCCCCAAGCACATTAACTATAACTGGTTTAGACCATTTTTTAATTTACTTTTATTGTTGCGCAAGAGACACATAGGAGTTTTAGAGAAATTATAAAACATAAATCAGCAAACAGGCAACAATAATAATTTGTCATCTCATTACCTAGAAGTACCCTCTGTTCATCTTCGGGTGATGACTAAGGCTGCTGCAGCATGTCTGACCTGCAAACAGCAGAAACCAAAGGTGAGCCCCCAATGTCCAACCTTCCCCCGCGGTCCAGCCAGCCACCGGGTGGCAGGTGGATCACATTGGACCTCCCAGTCGTGGGTTGGGGGAGATGTGTCTTCATTGGAATAGACACATCAGCTAGATACCAAGTTGCCTTCCTTGCCCGTGATGCTTCTGCCAGCATCACCATCCATGGACTGAAAAATAGCTTATTCACCGTCACAGACTTCCACCTAAAACGGCTTCTGATGAAATAATGTTTCTCCCAAAATGCATGCTCTGTACCCGGTTACAAGTCTGCCTGTAAGAGAAGCCACTGAGACAGGTCTTGGCCACTTTGCTTTTTTGAAGGATGGAAGGCTCCAATTTTGGGCTTGTAACAATGGAAGCCAAAAAGAAATACGAGTATGTTTGGAAAGGAAGGACCCCAAGCCTCCCCTATATGTATTTTTTATTCTTGAAAACCCAACTACAGCAAGTCCTCAAATGTGCCACCCTCTTCCTTTCCTCCAATCCTTTGTTTACCTTTTCCTAGACTTCACCTCACTCTACAGTAGGGCAGGTAAACTTTTGCTCCCATGCAGGTGAGAAGCCTTCCTAGGAATGAATAAGGAGAGGGAGGCAAATGTCACCCAGGGGATGAGGGCACCTTCAAGTCTGGAAGTTAGACCCCAACCCAAATTCTAGTCCTAGCTTTGTGACTTTGAGCTTAGTGACCTTGGACAATTTACTGGACTCATATCGAACCTCAGTTTCTTCATCTATGAAACGAGACACTGCTTCCTACCCTGCCTGCTTCAGACCTGGTCGGAGCACCATTCAGAAATCCATGATGAGGTGGCTCTTTGCAGCCTGTAACGTACTGTGCACTTTTACTACATTACTCGAAGGCGTCTGGACATATGACTGTGGAAGGCAGCTCAAGTCAGGCGTGATGGGGAACGAATGAGCTCTGAGCCAAATGGTGCTCACCTTCACTCCAGATGGCAGTAATTAAAGGACTTAGCTTCAACTGCTCTCCTTTGAAAAAGTGTTTCTTCTCCCTGCCTTGCATTTTGCAATTCTTACATTAACCTTTACATTTATTTTGTGTGTTTCTTAATGTAATTTTTGTCTTTTTCTTTTAAATGATTACATTAGGTAAGATATTCACTTCATCTGTTTAATGAATTCATTCCTTCAGCATTTCAGTGAGCATTATTGATTGCCTGTTTCATGCACTGCTCTCTCTCTCTCTCTCTCTCTCTAAAAAACAGGAGGAATAAAAGAAATGACAATTGAGTAATTAATCCCATATTTACTTGAAGAGATGAGATAAACAAAGCAAAACAATTTACTCATCTCTCTATTGTCTTTGCGTTTCAGTGACTGGCTCATGACAGATGCTCTTCATCGTCATCATTAGTTACATTTATTGAGTGCTTACTGTATGCCTGGCACTGTGCTGAATGCTTCATATTTATACATTTAATCCTAGCAACAAAGTTACTAGATAGGCATTGTGGTTATTCTGTCTGCATTAACCATGATACATTGACACAGAGTTCAAGGTTACATGGCTAAGAAATAATGATCTCAGGATTCAAATGCAGGTTACCTAACTCTGGAGTCTATATTTTTTTAACCACTAAGTCATATTACTTGCTGAGAATGCTGTGCCAGGTGGAAGGCTCAGCATATGCAAAGGCTCAGAGTCAAGGCAGAGCTAGGGGTTTCCAGGGCAAGAGGGTACAGAAGGCTGGAGACGCATGAATGCAGCAGGGGCCATGTGGGGCGGGCTTGCCTGAGTACCAGGCTTATGAACTTGGGGACTGACCACCAGGTGCTTTGATGTGATCCCAGGCGGTTTCAAAAAGGGCTTTCTGATGACTCTGGAGGAGAGCGTGGGAGCGGCAGAAACGAATTCAATGTCAAGACTGTTGGTGGAGCCCAGCTGGGAGATGCTGAATTCCAGAAGGAACGTGGTGGCAGGTCCTGGAGAGCAGGGGGAATGGCTGCGAAGGCGCTCAGGAAGGAGGCTCCCCAAGGATTGGTATCTGGAAAGGAGAGGGCTTGATTACGGGTCCCCTGGCATTTGGGAGACAGAAACAAACCCACCCAATGTCCCAGCCTCCCTCCAGCCTGACTGGGTTCCCTGCTAAGCTGAGCACCCCTCCTCTGGGTCCAGTAATTGGCTCCCTGGGCAGTCTGTTCTTTCTTTCCATCAAATTAAGCTCCTTCCTTTCGGGGTCTTGGTTGTTAAAACACCCTGTTTGCCCGTGCCGTTTCCATATTCCAATTACCCACTGCCATTTCCCAGCTAATGAGCCCATGTGCTTGCGTTCAAGAGCATCTTGTCAGGAGCCTGCTCGTGCCAGAGGGCTGCATGTTCCAGGGAGACACGATTCACAGTGTCTTCAGACAAGGAGAGCCGGGCCGTTTGCTCACCCCCTTCTGGTCCTGATGGACTAGACCTTTGTGCCTCAGTACCTGCCCCCACAGATCCCCCGATGCTCCGTTTACCTTGGAGACCAGAGGAAAAGCTCCCCGCCGACTGGAGAAGCACCCGTTGTTCTCACGGCCATCATCACACGCCCATTGGACCCTTAGTGAATCACCATGCGTGGAGCCTATGAAGTCCAAGGTCTTCCTAATCTCCATCCCTGATTCTTCACAGAGGGGTGGCTGGCACATGGGTGCTAAGTAACCGGACAGAGGATTATGGGTAGCTGCTCATCGATGCTGAGGACAGAGAACTCAGGTTTCTGAGAGTCAGCTGTGGGCAGGAACCCTGTGCCTGAAAAATGCTCGGTGTTTGACCCTGAACTGGTTAAATAACCCTTCTCAGCCTCACCTGGAAGACAGGAAGAAGAAGAATTAGCTTGAGGTGATGTTGCAGGAGTAAGAGAGTTAACAGTTGTAGGCTTTTGGCATATAGAGGCTCTTAATACATAGTAACTGGGATGCTATGAATATTACCATATTCATTATACTAATTATATTATTATGATATACAAATTAGGAGAGAACTTTGGGGTGTCAAGTTCAGTGTTGCTCTACCTGTGGTGACAGCGACCCACATTTTAAATCACAACCCAGTCCACATAATAGAGTAGACTCCTAACTAACTGAAACAGTGCCATTCTGATTATGATGATACCTTCTGATATTTACTGTTCCATATTTTATAAAGCGATTTCAACCTATGTTAGTTTGCTGGCACTGCTGAAAAAAAACAAACAACAACAACAAAAAATAACCTACTACAGACTGGGTGGCTTAAACAACAGAAATTTAGTTTCTCACAGACCTGAACTTCAAGAACAAGGTGTTGGTAGGGCTGGTTTCTTCTGAGGCCTCTCTCCTGGGCTTGCAAATGAACTGCCTTCTCACTGGGTCCTCAAATGGCCTTTTGTCTATGTGTGCCCGCTCCTAGTGCCTCTTGGTGTGTCCAAATTTCCTCTTCTTATAAGTGCGCCAGTCAGATTGGATCAGGGCCCACCCTAACAGCCTGATTTTAACTTAATTACCTCTTTAAAGGCCCTATCTCCAAATACAGTCATACCCTGAGGTACTGGAGGTTAGGGCATCAACATATGAATTGGGGGTGAAGGACACACAACTGGGCCCATAGCATGAGCCCTCCACAGTGACTTCCCATCCCACTAAGGGGCCATGAACCTGGCCTATAGAATATTAACCCAGTTCAATGGATAGCCAAGTCCTTTGGTTTCCACCTGACTATCCCCTCCGAAGGATTCCTATTGTTGAAGACCCGAGATGCTCACCACTTACTGAGTGCACACTCTGTGGCCAGGCCCTGCACTGAGCACCTTCCCTTCCTTACCTCACTAGTTAGCTGGGCAGGTCTTTGTCACGCCTGCCTAAGGAAGCGGGTATTACACAATTTTAAGAATGTATGCAGGTCGCCCAAAATCATGGAACAATGGCTGAGCAGAGATTCAAGCCCAGATTTTTCTCCAAAGCCCGGAAGATGGTGTCCTTGTGTTTGGAAAGCTCTTCTTCACGATGAGATAAAATTTCCCCCTGGTAACGTGCATAGAACACAAGGTGCTAAGGTTCAGGTGTTTCATAGGAGAGCGGTGATAGCACAGCTGTGAGTTTGTGAAAATCTGGGTTTCAGTCCCAACCTTGGCACTTTCTGGCTCAGGGGCCCTGGGAAGCTGTGTGAGTTCTCTCATGCTCCGTTTCCTGTTCGAGAAAATGAAGATGTTAGTAATATCCACCTCACGTGTTTGTGGTGAGGTTCCAGCCAACTAGAGAGACCCGCGGACTTATTGCTGTATTACAGATGGGCCACGTTCTTAGCGCCATCTGACCCATCATTACTCTCTCTGAACTTCATTTTCCATTATTATCACCCCCCCCATATTACATATTAAGTATTAGATCCATGATAACTTCCTCAGAAGACTATTGAAAGGTGAGGTGATTTAACACATGTGTGACACTGCATTATTTAGAATTTAATTGTGTCTTCACTTCTCTTTTGACCCTACAGGTTGATCAAGAAAAAAAAAATGAAAAGGATATGTTATTTTTCTTCCTCCAAGGAAGAACAGCCACGTTTGTTTGTTTTTTTAAATCTCGAGTTAAGGCTCCCTTTTAAATGGGCGTTAGTTTGTAAATTTTCTGAGACCACCTCAAACAGGCTTCGTGAGGGGACGTCCTGGCCAGGGTTTGCAAACCCCTGTGTCCATAGGGACCAGGTAGGTGCCATCAAGTCATGGAGATGACGTAAGGTGTAGTTCACAGCACCGAACACAAGAGGGAGCAGTTCATAACTGGTCGTGGCAGGAGTGCTGATGATGGTGGTGATACAAAGAAGGGGAGAACAAAAGGATTAAGAGAAGGAGGGGGACACACTTGGGCCCCCAATTCTGGGGAATAAGTGCGTCCCCAATCTGTTCCCCATCTCCTAGGCCTCATAAAGGGCCAGGCCACACTTGGACACAGCTCTATGCATGGGGAGCTTCCCTGGTCTACGATATACTTCCCACCCTGGTCCCAAGCTTTCTCCGTGGGGGATACCCCAAGTAGTTATCCATCTGGAAACCCTCTTTCTTCATCTTTGGTTGTTTACCATAAAGTGTTGTTCTATTAGTTATTTGTGGCAAAATAAGAATAAAATAACACATTAAAACAATCCATGAAATATTATATGCCATTTATGGTTTGCATGTGCCGTACTGTAACTATCTTCTTTTGATTAAACATATTTCTCAAAGTTCTTTACGTAAAACGATCCCTCAGGATGATGTGCAATGAGTATTCTGTTATTTTGTATCCCCCAGGCATAGTCCTGTAAACCCAAAGGACTAGGAAGAAACACGTCCCTCAACCGACTTTTAGGGGCCAGCATCCCTTGAACACTCCAGTAAGAGTAAACTATCTCCATGAAAGTCCCCCCACAATTGGAAGATTATGTCATGGAACCAAGCATCACAGTGGGTTCATTTCCAAACTTAACCTTTGGCTGGCCAGCCATATTGTCTGTCACTTTTAGAAAGGGGGACACAACAGGACCAAGCTCAACAGGGACCAAGGATTATATATTTTGGGAGCTCAATTATCAGCTGAAAAGAGCATAATTATGATGAAAGAGCCCCTGCTTCATCAAGAAATTGCATAAACCCTGATTTCAAAAACATGTTACTGGGAAGTGTCGTATATTTATACGCAGTTCTGAGAGATTTATGCCAGTCTTAATGGCTGGAAATGTCCTTCAAATTTTCCATCTGCCTTAGAATAGGTCTAATGTGATAACAAATAGGAAGTCGACTGGGCTAAGGGACACGCAGTTCTGTTTTGAACCATCAAATCTACAAGACTGCTGACATTGCATATTAATTAGCTGATCCTTTCCTTTCCAAATTAAGAGCTTAGTTTTATATTACTTGCACGGATATAAAACTTGGCTCTGCGGTTTCGGTTGCATGGAGAGCTCATTCACTAGATATTTTTGGAGCACCTAAGAGTTTCTAGGATCTTCCAGGCTTGGCAAGGAACGAGGTAAGACATAACCTAAACCATGGAAAATTTCTCACTATCTAGGAAGATGATGGAGTAAGATACGGCAAGAGTGAAAATGATTGTAGTAAATTGTTCCAGCAATATCTGGGTTTTTTCAAAACATCCAGTATGATTTTATCTTGCAATCATTGGGAGTCTTGTGAGCCTCATGTTTCCCTCTTTGCTTTGGCCAAAAGAAGGCTAAGACATGATTTTTCCTGCTCCCTGA